GTTGAGCTCATCAGAGCTCATAAGATGGCACTTAACATAATAATAAATTACTTACCATTACACTATTACTTAAGTTTACCTTTTGAGTCTCTAAGTACATTTAACTAGCAGTCTTCCTTCCAGTTTATCACCTTAAGTTCTGTACGCCAAGGAAAGAGTACCTCCTTTCAGCATCAACCAAATTTCCAGAAATACCTAGGACACAGTGCTTACTGACCTTGATTTATAAAATTAATGACTACTCAGTGATGGGACTGATTTGACATAAAGGCTTTAAAACATGGCCCCTCCTGCCATGTAGTTCACTCATCACTCAACAAATACTTAATTCAATTTCTGCAGGCGCTGGGGATGCTATAGTGAGCCAAAGTCTCTACTGTTCTGAAGTATAAATCATATGTACAACTACATCTCTGAAGCTCACAGCCAATAGTTTTTTTATTAGCAGCCTAAGGTATTAAACTTATTCCACCATTGAAAAACTTGTCATCCACTTGAGATAGTCTTATGGGTGGGAAGGAAGCTGCAGTTGGTTCCCCAACTTTACTGCTCAGGAGAAATTCCTGGAAAACTTTTTGAACACAGCAATTCCAAAGCTCCTCCTCCAGTTGTTTGATTCTGAAGTGAGGCACCAGAAGCTTATTCTTTCCCAGTACTGAGGATTGAACCCAGGGGTATTCTGCCACTGAGCTGGATTTCCTGCCATTTTTGTTATTTTATTTTTTCAGAGTCTTGCTGAATTAAATTGCCCAAGACGACTTTGAATTTGTGATCCTCCTGCTCCAGCCTCTCAAGAGCTAGATTATAGGTATGAGCCACTGTGCCTCATTAAAAACCAGTATTTTTCACATGAATTTCAATCAAGGTTTATGTAAACAATCTCAGAGAAAAACAACCAGTGGAGCCATTAAGGACAGAGTAATCATTCAAAAATATAAGACCAGCTGGAGATTGAGCTCAGTGGTGATGCTGCCTGCCTCACAAGTGCAAGGACCAGAGTTCAATCCCCAGTACAAAAAAATATGTGTGTGTGTGTGTGTGTGTGTGTGTGGCATGAGGATCACCATGAGTTCAAGGCCAGGCTGAAATACATAGTGAGACAAAAAGAAAAAGAAATATAAGTATAAGCCTGGCACAGTGGCACATGCGTTTAATCCCAGCTTCTATACTTGGAAAGCTGAGGCAGAATGAAAGATGGAGCCCTACCTGGGCTATTTACTGAGACCTTTCATAAAAGAAGGTGCTAATCCCAGCACTCTGGGAGGCTGAAGCAGGAGGATCACAACTTTGAGCTTACCCTGAGCAACATAGCAACTGGGTGAGATCCTGTCTAAATTAAAATATTAAAATTAAAATTAAAAAATAAAAAGGGATGGAGATGTAGCTCAGGGAAAAGGCCCTGGGGGCTATCTCCAGAAGGAACACAGGAACAGATGAACAAAGAAAAAAAAATGAATGAAAAAAAGAGAAAAGAAGCAAGTAAGGAAGCAGGCAGGCTGGAGAGCAACCCTGGGTTTGACCCCACTACTGCCAAAAAAACTACATCCAGTTTTCTGACTCTAATGTTAGGTGACAGAAACCTGAATTTCTAACCCCAGGTAATGCTGATGTAACAGATCCAAATTCCAGACTTTGAGAATCCCAATCCGAAAGGGGAGCCATTCAGGAAGGAACACCATTCAAAAGAGACCAGAGTTCTGTGGTAGTGGGATGTGACCTGAGCGATATAAACCCATAATATATTAATGAATTATCTACAATTCACCCATTTAGCTAACTAAAAGATAAAAATGTGGCTAGGGATGTAGCTCAGTGGTAGAGCATGTGTTTATCATCCCACCCTAAATCAATCCCCTAGCACTACCTAAAAAATCAACATGAATATGAGTAAAGGAATTCACCAGTGCCTCTCCCATAATCTCTAACTAGAACTTTGAGGGTGCTTCAATCTAGGCATCTGGAGACATGATAAAACTATGCAGAACTCTACAGTCAATATTACAGAGAAGAATTAGGGAAAAAGAAACTTCTAGTAACTGCAAAATTTTTTTTTAAAAGTGCTGAGGGACAAACATTTCATGAAAATAGCTATCACTCATTTTACAACCTCTTTCACAATGCTTAGTATCTGAACAATCCACAGGGTTCCAAAGTACATTAAAAATTCGTTCCTCTCTTACTCAGACTGAAGAAGAACAGAGCTTCTCCAAGATACTATGCTCATCGAATTCAACAGATACATTCTTAGGTAAAGAAAGACCAATTTCTTAATGTACTATCAGAAGTAGTCCTAACTGGGTAAAAGGTGTTTGAGCCGGGCATGGTGGCACACGCATGTAATCCCAGCACTCCGGAGGCTGAGGGCAGGAGGATCACTGTGAGTAGCCTGGGCTACCTAGTGAGTTCCAGGTCAGTCTCAACTACATAGTGAAACCCTGTCTCAAAAAAACAAAACAAAAAAGGTGTTTGAAATATCTTTAATCTCATCACTAAATCAAATGTCCCTCATTCCTTCATTTAGATGATTTAAAACTTCTTGATGTCTTCACAAACCTAAGCATTTTCATTTTTAAAAAATGTTTTCAGTTATGAGCAACCTCCTACGAAAACAATATAAATGCTTCAACTAGTTAAAAAAAAACTGTAACAAAAACTTTGTTTTTCATACAGAGATAGACAAATGGAAGCAATAAGGGTGTTTAAACTTCTGCTTAAAGTCGTCTAAAAATAAAGGCATCCCAATAAATACATTCGTCCTATTTAGGGGGTTTGGTGACATCAAGCAGACCAGCTGGCCTTGCTGGCTCCTGGCCCCGGTTCCTACTCTCACATCCTGTCCACTACATAATCCATGCGCTATCTCTCTGAGCCTTTTTCTTCGCCCATTCAACGGGATTAGTAAATCTGCCTCCGCTGATCTGAGATCTTTCCAGATGCATTTGTTTGTAAGACACTTGTTTTTATGACTAATCCCTTTTTCTTGGACTTGTTTTTTATTATCTGTACATTTCTGACCACGGAAATAGCACAAGAAGGATGCGAACAGAAAAGCACAAAGAACCACATCTGGCTGGAGTCTCCGTGTATTTAAACGTTCAAGTTGATTCTGTTTTCTGAATAGCACCGACAATGATGGCAAAGTCCGACAGGAAACTTTCACATTTCTCATTCAAGAAGTTGTCAAAAATCTCCATGGCCTCCGACTGAACCAAGAAGAGCTGTTAATGTGTTTCTTCAAAAGCAAAGTCTTTGGTCGGAATCACAACAGGAAGGCTACCCCATAGGAAATGTAATCTACCAAACTGTCTTCTTGATCCAAAGGCAAACAAGTGAAGGAAGGTGCAGCCTACTCCTCGTTGGTTTCCTTTTTTCTCGGAATTCGGATTACATTTCCTCATTCAAGCCAGAAAAGAACGAAATTGTGCCTTGGGTCCGTACCAGAAACTCGAGTCCGTGCGTAAGGGGACCCCGGGGACGCGCTCACCCGGCAAGGGGAGCCGCTTTCTGTTAAATACCGACCGAGCAGCCCGGGCAGCACCGCGCAGGGCCACAAGGCAGTGACCGTCCTTCACTGACAGGATGGTGCAGACACGCGGGAGGCGAGAAAAGGGATGAGCCGGGGACGCGAGGCCGGCGCCCGGCGCGCGGCGCTGCTCCCCGCGGGT